GTAGTGATGCCCTTTGTTCATCCCGGGTGTCGTGGCCCGCCAATCGAGCTGGCCTAGGCCCAATCCAGCTTCCGCCATGCCCACATCGCCTAGGAAAGGCTCAAATGGTTTGCATGGCGATTCGTCGTGCACTTCTGGAAAGAAACCATGCTGTCCAAAGGCTTCAGCATATTTCAGCATCAAATTCCCATAGGCCCTGGGATGATCAAGTTCCAATCCCTATGTTGGTGAAGGACTGATGGGGTGAAGGACTGATGTCCAATCAATAGAACTGGTGTAAAATCTGACTGGCCCAGATCAGGGTCGTGAGACGAGTCATCTCATTCATCTCATCATTTTCTCAAGCAAGGTTCTACCTCATTCGTCCCAAACGCATCGCACAGCTGGCTCACCTAGTTGCCCCAGATGCAGACGACAGGGAACTAGTCCCTGTATAAACTGCTAAGGAGAAGATGGATGTCTGTCAATGTGGTGTTTCTTGGAACCCCAAGTAGTTTAACTTGCATTAACTTGCCGTATTGCTTGATCGCCTTACAAGCCAAAAAGATCTTTCAGCACCTCTCACCAATCCAAAGAGGTTGCCCAACTCCCCCTTCCGTCGCCCCTCCGCACCGCGCCCCTCACCCTCCGCTCCGCGCCCCCCCCTGCCTCGTCCTTCCTCCACGGTCTGTCGCAGCTCCTGGACGCAGCGCTGCGCCTCCTCGCGAAAGACTTGCCGCCAGCGCTCCAAGTCCGACATGATGTACTGCCTCACCAGCTCCGTTGGTCGTGCCGCGCTCGCGCAGCGGCCGGAGCGGTGCCGCGGCACGCGCCGCGGCGGTCGCGTTGGTAGTGCCGCGCAGGTCGTGACCGTCGTGGTGAAGTTGTGCGCGTGCGTCGAACCGTGGCCACCGCCGGAGGAGGAGAGGAGTTCGGGCGGTCTTTGTGGTGAGCGTCCTTGGGATGACCTCAATGGTAGGAAACACAACAAAAAACTGTTCGGGATTGTCCGGGTATGCCCCAAGGCCGGTGCTACCTGGGCATAGAGATGCGAAGGTGTCGAACATGCAGCCGCTAGAACAGCGGCTAGAACAGGGGATAGAACATGGAGACAGCAGGAACAAGTGCTCACTTTCCAGTCAATCGCTGCTTCCCAGCAACCCGATGGTCCCGGCGACTCCCCCAAACACCGGACATCCGCTACTCTTGAACGTCTCACAAATAGCCTCGTTGAAAGATGTTCAGCTTAAAGCACTGGCAAAGAAATGCTATGGATCCATTAAATCACCATCCTACAAAAAGAATCGCACAAAGAACCACAAAACCACAACAACATGCAAAACAGACCAACTATGACCAACTGATGTGGATCACCGAACTCCTCCTTTGATCAATTATGTTTCCATCCAAACACCCCAGCCTCAAGTAGGTGGTGCTCTGGGTGTTGGGCCTTCAGCGTAGAACCGGGTTCGGCGAGTCGGACGGTCGACCCGGTGATCGGCCAGCTTCGCTGATTCGATCGGTTTTCACTCACAGCTGTCCGCTGGTACAGGAAGCTGCACAAGATGCTCCTAACATCGAATAGGTGGACTGTGTTTACAGGAACCTTTGGGGCTGACACGCAAATGTTCAGTTGCTGGTGGAGAGTTCTTTCTGTTCAAATCTATTACTTGGAGGGTGATGGATTAAGACTACCTTTCTTGCCTTTTGCTATGAGTTGGCCTACTGTATCTTGAAATCCCAAAATCTTTGGCCGGGTTATATAACTATAAGCTGCAAAAGCCTACTACTACTCGCAGCTACTGAACTAGAGATGAGATGTTAAACCAAACACGTATTTGGCACATACACAAACAAAAGGAGAGACTGCCATGAAACCTGATGAAGATGGACCTTACCCAGACACTCCATGGTACTGCCATATATGCCTACATTGACCCCCCCAAAACCACCCCAATGTAGGCATATATGGCATCCATGGAGTGTCTGGGTTATGGAAGACGATGTTCCTCTACAACCCAGTAGTTGTCCATCGCACGCACGGTGACGGTCGCCGTGTGCGTCGAAGCACGAACCACGGTCCATCGGTCCACGGTTCGAAAGTCCTCGACGGTCCCCCGAGTCCCCCAGAAACCAGAACCGACCGGTGTCTAAGAAGGACAACAACCTACCAACCCACAAGTTTGCAGCTGGATTCTTGCGGGATTTGAGGCATGAACCACCGCGTATCACCGGGACGAATGCACTGTTCGTCAACCCTGCTGGATCCAACTCGACCGCGCTGCCCAGCCTGACCCAAACATTCTCGAGCTTCGGTAAAGCCTCTGGCGCCTGGCACAAGAGAGGTGAGGCTCTGCCGTTGGTTTTCACGCTGGGAGAGGTCATTTTCAACTTGGATGGTTTGTTCGTGTCCCTCTTTTGTCCCTTGGGACGGACCACCAGAAGCGGAAGATGCATCGGTCGAACAACCACACGATGGACGAGCACATGATATGTCCACCAGACTCGTGTGGTTCGGGGAGCACATGCGACCGAGCCACCAGTTTCCCAGACCCCGGTCTTCACGTCCAAAAACCTCATCCTTCCCAGGACTCGGGAAAAAGGTTGATGTTGGAGTTGGCTACGCTTCAAATTTGGGCATGCCACATGCTGTTGAACCGAACCGCGGTCGTCTTCTTCGTCGTCTTCTTCTTCTTTGCCCTGCCTGACCTACTACAAACACCCAGCTTAAGGTTGGTTGGTTGGTTGGTTGGTTGGTTGGTTGGTTGGTTGGTTGCGAAGGCAACAAGCTTGCGCAAGCGCTCAGGGAGCCATATCCCCAAATAGGAATGAGTGGTCGCTGCAAATCGCATGCAACAGCATCATGTGATAGGATGTCAAACCTGCACTCCCACCATGCTAGATAACATTTAACAACCCTTTTGCTCTAGAGAGCAGGGGTCAACTCAAGCAGATATGTTGCTTCAAAACCATGCTACAAGCGCAGGGTTTAAGTCACATCAGTCGGCGAAAAGTCACATCACCCCATGGCACACCGCATTGGAAGGAAGTCACATCAGGTGGAAAGAAGTCACATCAAAACATGTAAACCCCAGTGGCACAGCGCCGCCGAAGCAAGTACAGAAAGAAGACAATTATAGAAAATTCCTCCAGTTGATACGACTTAAAGCGAGGCCCCAGTAGAGAAGAAGAAGCACTCCCTTTTGCCACCCCCAAAAAGGCCACTTTGGCGCACCGAAAGCACCGCACCGTCCCCACCTGTGCCGTGGCGGGCGCTGAGGTGTTCGTCTTCTCGCCGAGCTCGTCCGACCTCGCCGGGAAGCCAAATGAAACGAAAAGGGGACGAAGAGGAAGAGAAGAGTGTTCTTTTGAGATATAGAAGGGTGTTTTGTTTGGGGTTGACTCGACTTGTATTTTTTGCCAGAGGCATATTACGCATATTATAGGCATCATGTGGCCTCAAGGTTTTTGTGGGCAGGTTTGAAATGGTTTGAAACAAGAAACAAGGCTGGCATGAGCAGAATCGGATTTTGAAATGGATCTTGCTTGGGTTTCCAAGAAAAACCTGACTTCGCTGGCTGGCTCAAAAGCTTGCCCATTCTTTGTTCATCCCCACATCCACCAATCCATCAGAAGGACCCAGAAAGTACAGTGAGTAGGGCAAGTTGGGCCATACAAGCACTTGGCCCGACTAGACAGTAGAGGTTTCCTCCGCGTGCCACCAGTTCTTGTGTCGTCCCACAGATCACAGCAAACCACAGCTGCAGCTCACCTCACTTGCTCCGGTTCTTTCGTCAAGAGCAAACGCTAACACTGCTCGAGACTGCTCGATACATCCCTAGATCTCCACGCAGTTTCCGGTCAAAGCTGGTCAATCCTGGTCAAGAAATCCCTCCCAGCTCCCAGATTGACCATCACTTCCTAAATCCTCCATCCATGTTCCTGCGAAATCCAAACTGCATGAGGTCTCCTTCCCAGCTCTCTCCAGCTGCGCCCGCACCGCTCCCCGCCTCGGAGCGCCTCCTTCGATCCGGCCGCGCGGCGTCAGCGCCGGCAGCGCCCCCTCCTCGGGGATGCGCGCCGCGCCCAGGGCCATGGCGCTGGGCAGCAGGGGTGGCGGAGGTGGCGGGTTCGGTGTGGTTTTGTGCGGGCAAGTGAGTGAGGAGTAGGGGTGGAGGGGAGAAAGTGGACGATATTTAAATTAAGCTTTTAATGGCAGTTGAAATTAGTTGGGTGGGTGATGTATAATATATAATACTTACTAGGGAAAGATAGACTTTAGCCTGAAACTTGAAAATACGGCAGGCGCAGGCCGCGGGCATCATGGAGCTCTGGGGTTAGGTTCCTTGAAGAGTCTTGCGTTCATCTGCAAGATGTTGCATTCAAAGGCTGTGGCAGTGGCAAGCTTTGCTTGCAAATCATTAAACTGCTGCTCTTTGGCTTAGTAGAGCCGTCGGTGACTGCGAGCAATGCACTGAACTTATGACAGAACCAAACGGGAAACCATCAATGGGATCCCCAAGTGGCGTGTTGATGTATTTATGACTGCAACCCTTTCTAAGCGAACAGATTTCTACAAACTAACATTGGTACGAAATCTCTGCCTTCTTGGTTGATTACAAAACGGTGGCCATGGCCCTTGTTTGGTGACGCACACGTCCAAGGCAACTTCCCAGCTCTGTGGAAGGGACTACAAACCAAATCTGATCCCTGACCACTCAACAAGGGAGAAACTTGGGATCCTGACGAAACGCGTGGGAATGCGCTGGGAACGTGTTGCTTGTTCTTGTACATGCTCTGCTTCGACAGAGTGCGAAAACAGCTCACCGCTATGTTTCGCATGACCCGCTGATGTTTTGCCCCCAAAACGGCCACCGTTTGGAGGGCAAGCCGTGGCCGATTTCAAAAAGTCGTCCACTTCCAAGTATATAGTCAACTCAAAAGCCCACTTCCAGGCGCCAAAAGCGCCCAAAACGTCGATGTCCTCCTGCCAACCAACCCTTCCGGCGCGCTCCGTTTCAGCTCCTTTGCTGCTCCCCCACTCCGCGTTTGGGTCTCGCGCGGAGCCGCGGAGCCGCGGCCGAGGTCCGTTCCTCGGTGAACGACCCGGTGGGACCGCGGTGAAGCCAACCGAACGACCCTGGAGTCGGACAGCTCCGGTGAAGCTAAGCCGTGCGGGCCCCCCTTGCACAATGGGCACACCATATAATAGATATATATATATATATGCGGCTCTGAAGTAGATGCGGCATCTAAATCAGCAGGGACTGTGCTTGAATGAGTTGGATTGAGTTGGATGGACCATGATGGATTACTCCACATTGAGTTGGAGCTCCCTCTCCCTCTCTCCCTCTCTGGATAACATCGGCACCACATCTGATGAGAGAAATTATTGGTGATGAGATCCCTTGTTTCCACTAAGCTGCATGCTCCTATCCGTGCAGGTTTCACTTCTGACCACTCTGGACGGGGTAGTCTGACTGTTTCAGTCCAATGGAGTAAAGCACCAAATCCTTTTAAGTCTTTAGAGTGTATTGTATTTCTGACTGTTTCAATGGAGTCAAGCACCCCTTATATAAGTCTGCAAGCACCCCTTGACGTTCCCTTTTCTCTTGTAGATACTTCTGACTCTGCTCTCACATGGCAGTGGATGGCCATCCGCCTCGTGAGTCTCGACACCTCGTTCCCCGGTGGGCCATCTGCGCCCTCCATCGACGATGTGTTCGTCAGAGTGAAGATTCCAGTGGATGGAGTACCCTGGACCACTCAGGTTTATACACTACTCCAAAAAGGTGTCAGGGAACGACTATGAACATGCTTTGGTATAGTTATACTTGGTATACTTACTACAGTATAGTAGACACCAAGATGTACTCCAACATGTCGGCCAAAGCTTTGGATTTGCTCCCTTCATCGAGGCCCTGTCACGGTTCGGCTCCTCCCTTCGCCCCACGGCGGACCTGGACCGTCCACGGCGAGTTTGGCGTCGGCCGCGGCGGCAAGGGCATGGGCGTGGGCGACGGCCTCGTTTTGGGCCCAGTGGGCGGGGCTCTGCCAGGTAGGTCACATGACTCAACTGGCCCGTTGGTGAGGGCGGACGTTTCTGATCACCCAATGGTTTCATAGGGTCGCTATACTTGGTGAGCCGGTCGTACGTTTAGCATCGTTTTAGCTATAGCAGCTATTCCTAGCCTTGAGGAGGTGGCTGTGGAAAGCGGAGATTGGTCATTTGGGCAGTTTGCCTGTGCTAAGTCCTTGAAAACGTTTGATTTAGATTTGTACGCCGAATGTCCCTGCCACCTGCTCATTTAATAAGCTTGAATTATGAAATGTCTACAACACGAGTCGTCTTCCAGGTGGTCAATGCCTTCCTCATCCTCTTCACATCGTGTTGTCTCACTTCTTCCCAAGGCCCATCCGCACTCACCCTCACCCTCCCGGTGCTCGTCCTGCCGTTCCTCGTTCTCTTGAACCGCCACGTTGAACGAAAGAAGCGTCCTGCCGTCGAGCTGTGCTTGGGCCGTCCAGCGTGCACTTGGGAGAGTCTTCACATGTCTTCACCGGAAGCCAGAGGGGTGGAAAAAGCCAGGGGAAATGTTGATCAAGCTCCTTAAAGACAGCTGCTTCACTAGCGGGTCAGACACACAAAAGTACTGGCCACACACAAATTGACATGAGTGTGGTGTGGGTGCAAAATGATGACCCTCTGCCTTGTAATCCGGTGAACTGTCTCAGGATGACCATCCTAGTTACTTTACAGTAACCTGGCATGGGTAACCCACAAGCAAGTGACGCATGTTCACAAGTTACTTCATGTTCCCACAAGCAAAGTTACTTTACTAAAGGTGATACAATCTCACTGGAACCACTAGCCCCCTAGCCCTGGGATTGCACTGATTGCACATTGAGCTGTGGGGATTTGGGGGGGAACATGTTGCTGGTAGGATGTTCAATAGGCATCGCATGGCTCCTTTTATTCAACTTCATCTGGAAATCATGCCCCCATCCGATCGAACAGTCTTCCCTACATCCACATCCAGCTTCTCCCCCTGCTCGTCCTCTCCAGTCTGGCGTATGCATGGCGTCCGTCGCTCAAAGGGACACCAGCTCCGCAGCCTTCATCACGGTCCGCTTGGTTGGCAGAATGGAGCCACCGTGGAGACGCATGATCAGCACCTGTGGATGACACGCTGGGATTTCTTCTAGGAAAGGTCTGTGGTGCTGGAAAAAGGAGACCAGGTGGATTGACACAAAGGGGACTACAGTACCTGGTTATGTTCACTTAATAATACAGGTTTCAAATTGCCAGCTATATAAGCGTTCTTTCCCGAACATGGTGCACTCACAAACCATTCTGGGCCAATGCCCAGGGACGACCAAAGAACCAGCAAAATAAACAGCATCCAGCATCCAAAGCACGTTCAGCTTCAAGATTCTCCTGTCCTTCAGCTTCAAGATACCCCTTGAATCGTACACACCATTAATTGTCTGGCTCAAAAAAACAACATTGGTGGTGCGCAACCCCTTGCGGTCATTGTTTGTCCACAGCTCAACCCCTTGCCCCTCGAACGACCAATACTTCATTGAAACATGTATAATATACTATGTATGCAATGGATAGGGAAATGGAACTTGTTGTTCAACAAACATGTCCCTCCACCCCTCCATGCGAGACCTCCTAAGAATAATCTTCACACCAACCTCGCGGAAGATTCGGAAGCCCAGCAGCGCTGCAACGCCCTCCCCGCCCTCCCCGCACGCCACGGTGCCACCGCGGTGCCACGGAGATCAAGACCAGCAGTTGCCCCAGCAGCTCCGCTCGCTCCGGCTGCGCCTCGTGCAAGGCCATGTCCAGAAAGACCTCGAGCTTCGGCCATCGCTTCACCGACTCCACTCACGAGTCACTCGACTGGATGGAGGTGATCGAGCAGTGGAGTGGCTCGCCAGGCCAGGAAGGATGAAACACTGAGAGGCGTGGAGGTCTCCAGGTGACCAGGTGGAGGCCACTCCGTCGCGCTGTGCCGCGACTTCCGTCTGAAGCCGTCGGAGGCCGTCGGAGGCCGTCTGCCTCTTTTGAGGCCACGGATTTGTCCTGGTTCCAAAGGTCCAAAAAAAAGAATCCAATTGGACTTATGTCCATCTTTGGGTCTCGAAATCGGGCATGAGACTTGCATGAGTCAAAAAGTAAAATGGATAGGAATGCCACAAATTCAGGCATGTTAACTGTTCACTCTACAGTTCAGGATGTGGTTGGCTGTTACCTGCCGTTAACATGTTTAAACCCTTTATGGCCCTTCACTGCTTTCTAATGTTCAGTCCAAACCTGCTGATGATGGACGGGGAAAAGAGGAGTGTTGACAGTCGATCTTTTCACGCAAACAACGAATTTTTTTCGTTTCTCGATCCACTCTTTTGTACACTCTGAGGAACACATCACATGGAAGTGGAGTTCACCCCTGATGGTAGATAAAATTGTTTCTTTGAAGGATGATTTTCCATGTCCATGTTAGTGAGTCGGAGGATAGTGAGTGGATAGCAAGAACCAGAACCAATGCGAAATGTGCCTATATAGCCAATTTCTCGCACCTCCTCCGATGCTTTCGACCCCCCCTTCCGAAACGCCGATGCGTTCGACAGCGCCGACGACGCCGCTCTGCGACAGCTCTTGCTCAGCTCAGCTGCAGTTAGGGGCACCGACAGGGCGGAGGTGCTCGGGAGCAACATCGGAGAGCCCCACATCACCTGAGGACGACGGGCTTCGAAGCCTCTCCGAAAGCCCGGAAAAAAACGCCGAAAGCGCGCGATGGAACGCGACAGGCATGCGATTCGGAGCAATAAGGCGGGCTTTGGAGCCCGATACGAGCTTCCAGTTTTTGGGAAACAATGGGCCAGGTGAGCGGTGCCCATAAGGATGTTCCAGATGATTGAGGATTGATGCGCAACAACTATTCACGTTTGCATCCCAAAAACAATTGCCCTCCCTGTATCATGAGTGAATGATTAGTGCATGCACCCATCAAAGCAAGCAACTTCCACCGGTCGCTGCCGGGTCGACAAGCCGAGCATGACCAGCTACGCGACGCCTTAAGCCAGGCCTAGAGCCAGGCCCTAGGCGTCCAACATCTGTCACCATTGAATTCAGAGGTCTGAAGTTCTGAGGGGCAAAGAGCCGAGCTGTGTGAGTCAAGATCTTTATACAAAACCAAGTCAACAAGCCTGATGGTCAAATGGAAACCTTCTTGGGCAACCAAAAACCGTCCAAAACCCAAAAAGGCAATCTCAATCGGCTCGGCTACCCCTTTTTCAAAGCTCAGTGAGCATGCGGCTCCCCGTGGAAAACCTCGAACTAGCTGTTGACCCATCCGATCTCCATCTTCTCTGGCAGGGCGCGATGCATAAGTAGAGCGCCTCGAAGCGGCCGGTCCGGCAGCGGCCGGTCCAAGCCGAGAAGGGCAATCGCAAGGTGCTACAGAGTCATTGCATCTAATTTGTACTCATCTTTGTAGAGGGTAGGGGGAAATGGGTTTGGGAAACGGGCCCTCCACGCCTCGACGCCTCGACACCTCCATGCCTCGACGCTTCGTGGCAATGCCAGAGCTGACGCTGCGCCTTCGACCGCAGTTCGTAACAAGTCCCGTTGACCACCTGTCAACGTCATGTTGGCATCCAGTGGGCAGGGCTCAGGACTGAGGTGGCTCAACAGGTCACCATGTTAGTATTGGAAAGAGGGAAAGCTACTTTATGTTATGGAACCAACCGTCCTGGTAACCCTCCTCAAAGCAAACAAATCGTGCTGCGGGTCTGCTGTCACAGTCACCATGGCAGCAACTGTGGACTGGAAATCTCCCGGCAAGCGCGCGCCATCGGCGTTTGCCGTCGGAGTAGCATGGACACTTGTGATTGGGAGGGGTTGGAAATGTTTGACATAGAACTGGGCCAGCTTCTGCCTATGCTTGCCATAGGAATCCGTGGAGCGCAAGACTCGGACAGTGTCCGCAGCAGATAGACCGTGCTCTTGGCGCACTAGCCCTCTCAATCTCTGGCATACTTTCGGATTTCGCCAGAGATATTGAGATATTGGTTTCAGCAAGGACCCGTCGGCACCACACCACGCAAATGCGACCTTATGCACCCTTACCCACCTCTGGTCCTGACAATCAGGGTACGATGTTGACTCAATTCAGCATACATAAGTTAAATGTGCGTCTGTGGTACACATCTGTGGCAAGGTTTTGTATATGATGTCGTAGGTTTTGGCCCTTAAGTCCTTGTATTGGCAAACTTGCAGAGGGAAGTCAAAGTTCCCATCAAACCTGATTCCCTGACCATTCATCAGCATTTGCCTGACGTGTTGGTATTGGGCCAAAATCGGAAGCTTGGCTGGCATAATAGAGAACAAACGAACCATTTCCCCAAAACAGCAGAAAAGGAGGGTGCAAACATTGCGAACTTCAACCAACGCACCAGTCTATCAACACCTCGACTACCAAGCTTGCAAAAGAACACAAGGCATAATGGGGAGATCAGGGTGAGACCATTTTTTTCCTGCGCAGCTGCGGCCAAGTTCATTGCATAACTGTCAGGTTGTTTTCAATAGAGGTTTTCTTCAGTTAAGTCTCACTTCAAGTGGATCTAGTTAGATGAGTTCCTGGAAAAACCATGTGTTTTCCAAGATATCCTGCGCAGCCTGAAAAACAAAACGGCTCAGCAATGCTGCCCCATTTTTCCATATCATTGACTGATCTGCAGCACCAGCAATGCCAGGCCACCTGCAGAGAGCTTGCCAAACAATACATCAATAATTACAAAGCCCACTAACTACATTGGACCAGCAGGCCCAGAAAGGAACAGAAATAGAAAACTTGCTGCCTTTTGGACCTGCAGGCCCAGAACAAATAAAAATAGAAAAGTTGCTGCTTATATTGTTCAATAATTGATATTGATTGATAATTGAACTCATATATATATTTTTTTCCCGTTATATAGTTCATCATCGCACAGCAAGTGGCTTGAGTGGCCACACACCCAGGGACTTCACCCCACCCCCCCCAAGACATGGTATCCACAGCAAAGCAAGTGTCCCAATGACATTTCCACAGTCAATTCCCACAGCAAAGTGCCAAGCAGCAAGTGTCATAGACCAACCAGTGGAAAAGAAGAGAAAGAGGAAGGCTAAGGCTAAGGCCAAGCCAAAGCAAAGTCCAAGGCATAGGGAGACCGATTGAAATCATTCATCAAGAGGGCACAGATGCCCAGAAGGAGGGCAGCACAGAAGGAGAAGGATGAAAAATAAAATGAGGAAAAGGAGAAGGAGGAGCAGGAGAAACAGGATCAGGACAGCATCGAGATGGAACCACCACAGCCAGACCCACCACAGCCAGAGCCTGCTGCAGGAACGGGGGAAGGAGAAGAAGGAAGAGGAGAAAAGGAAGGAGAAGGAGGAGCTGAGGCTTCAGGGGCAGCCCCTTCCAGACCAAGAGCACCTAGGAGAAGATCACCAGAAGAAATTGCAGCCACCTGGGTGCAAATTTGGACTCTCCTATGCAGATCACAGGTTTACATCGGTGTGGAAGAATGCCCATGTGGAATTGAATGCCCCCTACAGCCAGAAGGGGTTCAGCAGGACACTTTTACCACATCAGACCCTGGCAGGAGGCATTGGTCCAGGCACATTCCCACAACTGGGAGAAGTGGAACAGGCTGAAGGATCAGTACCCTCTTGGCGGTGATCAAACACCACAAACACCAGGACAGGTGCCCAGTCCCAAAATGTAAAGAGCCAGTGTGTGGCACCACATGACTGAAATAGGGAGTGCGGTCCTGGAGTTGGCCAAGTGTGATTCGTCTTCTCCATCAGCTTCTGAATTGACAAAGGCAATGCCCTTGATGGACCCTGTGGCCTTTGAGTCCCATTGTTGCCCCATCGGCATTTGCGATGGAAAAACAATTCAAGGTCACATGGTCTTTGGCGGCTGCTGGCATGGCTTGGCAAATGTCGGTCTTGTAGGTTTGGGGGGGAAGCGGGTGCGCAGGCTGCTCTTTCTGTAGCTCTGCGACTTCGCTGCTTGCGCCACCATTTCTGCATGAGAGCTCGACGCTTTGCGGCTTCATGGCTTCGCGGCTTCGACGCCTCCACACCTCCACGCCTCGACGCCTCGACGCTTCGCGGCTTCGACGCTTCGATGCGCGTGTGCTTTTACCCGAACACCTGCAATGTCTTTGTATATCTTTCTACATGCTTTCTTTCCTTTTGAAGGAGGTTAAAAACGAGTTGAAACGACAAGGGTGATCAAGGGGGCATCTTTCAAGGACATCCCTAGGCTTCCAACCACCATTAATTTAATAGGCTTTACCGAATCAACTAAGGATTTTAGACTACAAAAACCAGGTCAACCATTTTTTTAATGGTCTTGGAAGTCTAGGGACATGGATACAAAATGTTACAAGTGAATCCCCTCTTCACACATGGCTTGGACAGTGTTCCGAACCCTTTTCTTCGAGACCACGACGGCCGCTGTCACATGGCTCAAGATCTTTTGATGAAGCCTGAACACCCAGACCAAACGATTGGGACTGGACTCTAGCTCCTACATGGACATGGATGGGTCATGTTCAGGGTATACATGAGTATTTGACGATGTCAAATTTTATGGATGGTCTGGGAATGTCTGGGACACTCTTTGAGGAGAGCATTTTGAGGCTCAGCCTTCTCACCACACCCGTCATGACGGGGCGAGACAACTCACTTCAGGCTCCCCTTCAACATACCAAAGAACGTGTTGTCAGGAGGGTTGTTGTGTTCGTGTTGACTGTGTTCACCAGGTGTTCATTCGTCCGCATCTGGCTTGCGAAAGTGCCTTGCGGTTCGATTTCACACATTTGAGAGGGAAAATGGTCCGGCTGTCCCGGTTCACAGTGTTCACACCTGAAAAAAGCGTGTTGAACGAAAACGAAAAAACGGCTGCCAAGTCCATTCATGCTGCTGAGCTTTGAAAGAACCCAAGCCCATGGACGGTTGCTAACTGGCCTTTCTCAAACGAAAAAAACTTCTTGACCTGCAGAAACCGTTGAACTCCCTGCTCACCACAGCCCTTGAACTCCCCCATCCCATCCCATCGGCGAAAGACGTTCACCACAGCAGCCACCAGGGCCGAAAAGCCAGTGCCCAGCCACAAACTCCACGACGAAGGCCTCGATTTCTGACAGCAAAAGCGGAGCTCGTCGGGGAACAACTACTTCGTATACGTGGTCACCGGAAGCCATCTAGGCCCTCCGAACTCGTGTGATCCAAGTGCCTTTTGGGTCAGCCAACAAAGACCATGGCACATGATCTTTGCCTAGGGCCTAGCACTCAGTTTGCGCGTCACTCAAGTTTTGACCCACCCATTTTGGCTGATCTTCAAGCCGATCTCGTGTCCGGGTCCCCAAAGGCCGAATGTCATGGATCTTGACCCTTGAGCACAGCAAGAAGTGAATCTCTCAGGGTAAAGATCCATGGAAGTTCCAAGGCTTAAGGTCCAAGTTTGGATCATCACAGCTGCTTCAACCACCAGCAGCAGCTGCTTCTGGTCCAAACCCTTCAATCACCAGAAGGCGCCCCAAAACGATCCGTATCATTTGGATTCATTTGGTCTATCACACCAAGAGTCGCAGGTTTCCTGGTGTTGTGTCCAAGTAGCCACTGGAGGTGTTCGATGCCACACAAATGTGCCAGGAAGACCAAGGGAAATCCCAAGAGCAAGTGCCTCAGTGCTGACTTTGGGACGGTGAATGTGCCAGAATGTGCTGTGCGAGGTGAAGCAAGGTTTTTCAATTCAGGATGAAGGCGAGAATCAGGAAGAACCGACAACTAGATGGGTCTTTCCTTCGACTTTCATACCTCTTTGTCCACACATGTCCACACCACCTGTGCCGTGCCGGCGGAAAGAAGAAGCTTCGTCCCCGCTCAGCCGCCGCTTCAGCGGCCGCTTCAGCTGCCGAGGGGCCAAAGGCTGACCCAAGCGCCGAAGCCGGCCAGGAAGGAGACGTGGGACTTCAGATGCCCGAAGCTCCAGCGGAAGAGCGTCTGAGAGGAGCGGATCGCCGTGTGGGAAACCGATCCGGTGAAGGAAGCGCCGGGGGTTGCATGAGGCACTTCAGGTGGGCAAAGGGGTTGGAGGAAAGGACATGAAGATGTGAAGGTTGGATATTTCGTGATTTCCAGAACCCACTTGTTGAACCTGATTCTTTCTGTGTATCAACAGTTCACCTATGTGAGGTGCACACCAGTAACTGAAGTCAACTGTGAGTCAGGTACCAATTGTCCGTCAAGCAAGATGTGAACCAATTCTTCAGATACCCCAATTGTTGCAGCAGGGACACATCCAAGTGCTTTAGGCCGTCACACGTAGGGTTCTCAATGGATGGACCGGCAAAGAAAGCGGCATGAGCAACTATATAACAAAAGAGCGCCTGATGTTTCAGGTGTGGGCTCCCGATCAAACCTCCTGGCAAAACAGAAACTTGCTTGGTGCTCATATCATCTATAACCTCTTTTTCAGTCCAAATCTCCTGGTCCTGGTCAAGTGAGACTTTGTTCTTTTTCGTTACTCCCATGTATGTTGAGAGTTGTGTAAGATCCCTGCACAATGGCTCACCATCTGAAACAGCTATTTATGACCCCTGAATATTGTTGCTAAGGGCAAGTGGTCCTGTACCCATGCCTACTTATATAATACAATACGTCATGAGTCGTTTGCTTACAAACAACGAATTAGTGGCAACCCAGTCCCGGAAGGCTTCCAAATCTCGTCCCATGCACACCAAAAAAAAAACGGGGGTGAGGTAACATGCAGAACATGCTGGGCCTGGTACGCCGTGTACCCCACGGCTGCCAGCAGTGCCAAGAAGGTCCCAATGAGCGTCGAGCGTGCTGAGGTTCGACTGGTGCCTGGCGCGGGTTGGTAGCTGCTGGCGCGGTGCGCCATAGCGGGTCTCAGAAACTCGAGGTGCTGAAAAAACTCCTGATCTTTAAGGCTTCCAGTGCTTCCAGTCTGTCTTAATCAGCTCAACAGTCATCCTCAAGTAGGTAGGAGTAGGCATAGACTCAAATCAGCACGCACCGATTCTGATGGCGCCACCAATTGGTATGGATCCGATCCAACTCACGAGAAGCGACAAAAAAGCCACAAGCACCGAGAGCACCGAAAACAACAAGCACACTCCCCAAGCAGATTTGCGTTTGAACATGCCCCATGAAAACCCCATGAATTCGCGTGCCATCCATGAATTCGCGTGCCAAATCGTGTTGACCATGAAAAGCACACGACATCTACCATGGCCAATCTACAGGAAATCCACCCGTCTTGAGGATCGATGATGGCGCCACATGGCTTTCCTGTCGAGCTTTCTCGCGGCATCGGCGCCTGAGAAAACGGCGCCACTGGCCATGAACGAGCCTGTGGCGCACCGGGGGTACGACTGCGACTGGCGCTACGACGATGTTCGTTCGTTGACTTGACGACTGCCCCTTCCAATAACACTGCCATGAAGTAACAGCAAGCTCTTCATCTTGGATCAAGACAACTATTCTATCCCAAATACTCCATGGTTATTGCATGTTACTGCATGTTTGCCTACATGGGATTCCTGAAACCACCCCAATTGTAGCCACTTTTTGCCCTTTACATCGTCTCGCGCTTGGGGTGCTCCGACCACCACACTCGCTCCGGACGTCCGACCGACACGGATGACCGGCCCTGCCTAGTAGAGACAGCAACACTCCCAGAGAACGGTCGAAGGAGATCACCTGGCACCGTCCGTGCAAGCACGCGGTGCTGGTGAGCCGGCGAGCTCACACCCGTGCTTTCGGGCGTGGGACATAGGAGCAGAAATGACGAAATGATCTCTCATGCCGCAGAAGAGACACACGCACACGACGCCCGACACTCAAAACCAGTGGATTTGTCAGGACGTCAAATGGTCGAACCCAGGACTGATGTTGGTCAACACGGGAATCTAGTTTCGGGATGCTTGAGGCTTTCTGTTGGAAAGCCCGAGGTTGGTTGGTTGGTTGGTTGGTTGGTTGGTTGCCAAAGAGGCTTTGGCATGTTTACTACATGATTGTCTTGTGCTACGACAAGGTCGACTTGAGAATCTCTCGAGAGCGTGGGGCTTCGCGCGTCATATGACGCTCGTCCTGTCTTCCAGACTTCAAGACGTCTTTTTTTGGAGTCGATATCTACAGTTCCTTGGGCCAAGAAAGTGAGGGTCATCAAAACATCCGAGCATTGGAATTGGCCCATTCCTATGAAGGAACTCCAGTTCCAGTGGGCACCGGGGTTGTTACACATTAAACATGTATAGCAAACTCATGGCAAACAGCTGCTCCCTAGTCTTCGTTCGGCCCTCAAGCACACAGTTTCGTAGTTGTAATGGCCACATCCGCCGCAAGAAGCTCACATGACCAGGTATTTTGCTCTGGCTGCTCTGATAGATTTAAAGTCCCCCCCCAAAAACGGTCCAAACCCCAGCGGCTTTGACCGCTCCAAAAGGCGCGGAGCGCCTTCTTCGCATCGCTCCCATCGCGCCGCGAGCCGCGAGCATCGAGCGGCCATCCGCTCGCCTCATCGAAGAGCTGCACGCTGCAGAGGTAGACCAAGGCCTTCAGACACGGAGTTCGGACCGACGGTGAAAGAGCTCCGGTGTGGCCGATGGGAGCGGAAGAAACCTCCAGCTGAACAGTCGAAACCTCAAGCTCGGCCTGAAAGAGTTTGAACTAATGTTTTGTTGTTTTTTAATGACTCTGACTCTTGATGTAACTATCGGTATATATATGTATATATCAGGAACAATGTCTCCAGGACTGACCTTGAAACCTACCATGGATCATCGAAGTGCCAATGATCCACCGACAGGTTCCGACTGCTTCGGGGATCGTCTTCAGTGTCCACCTCTCGCCACCTCACACTGAGTTCCTCTGATGGAGCTTTAGAACCAGAAGGAACTTTTTGCACGCGGACCAATGAAGAAGACTAGATTGATTGTGGCTATGCAATTTCCGGCAGGAGAAGTGGGAAAACACTAATTATGCACTTACTTTCCAGCCCAAAAAGACTCTAAAGCCAAGTCATGGGGCTTGCGGGGTATCTCGGAGTCCTTCCATCTTGGAGTTTTTCCATCTGCTTTTGGTCATCCCCAAACCCTTCGACGGAGGAAGGGAAACGATGGGGGTACTCACCATTAGGCCTTCTTTCATGGCGTACTCACTGGAAGGATGGCCACCACTGGTTTCGTGTGTATGTTTTTTCTTGGATTTGCTTGAGGAACCGGAAAACAAAAATAGACCAGATATTCACCAGAAAGGTATTCACCTATAGGGAAACAACATCCTAAACAAAACCAGGTTTTGTATGGGTTGTTTCTCCTTTTGATTTAAAAATAACATTCACAACGTCTATGTTTTCACTTCTTGCAGCGGTCATGGTGCCGATACATATTCTATACAAACTATCATTTGGCAGTGAGTCAAAACCGGGACACCTGGGTTGACCACTGAACATGAACAGACTGGACGACCTGATTGGCGTCGGTCAACCTACCACAATGAAACGGTTTCCGGGTTTTGATCCACAGCCATTGAACAGGGTGTCTTTATGTGTCTTTGGATAAGCGGTTCATTTCCTCCTCCTCCGGTCTCCTCCGGTCTCCAAAGCACCAGGACCACCACGCCCAGGCACCACGGAGACCTGGAAAACCGCATTGGTGAGGCGCAAATCCACATAGGTCGCACTCAGGAGCCACGCGTAGTTGTATCCCATCAAGAGAGCTGCCTGGGACGCATGGTTTCCGATATGCTCACGCAGGGTGGACTCTGCCAGGGTGGGTTGTGTATGGTTGGGCTGGTCGTTTCAACTCACGAACAAAAATGTGAGTCATCGGGTTTTCAATCTCGGGTTCTCAATCATCGCAAGTAGAGGTCGAAATTAGAACCATCTAAAACCACCACCCATTGATATTTGTCCACATGGTAAAGCCCGAACATGATCCTCCCAAAGCACTCCTTTTGGGTTCCAAAAAAGGCCCCAGCGGCAAAAAGCAACGAAGCCGTCTTGGTCTTGGGCGCCTCCTGTCCGCCGAGCTGGGCATCGGATGGTTAGTGCATGTAGCAGGGGTCATCTAATGTGGACTCGTGATTAATACAACCCCTCAGGCTTGAAGAGGGTATAATGCATGTCCGGAGTCTGGAGGGGGGTTCCGAATACATTCTATAAGACTCCCTTGCTCAGGCTTCCAAAATGCCTAGATTTCGACCCGTGGAAGCGGACGTTCAACATGTTTCGGAAAACGAATCCTCAAAAAATATCAAGAAATGACCTTCGCAGTCGCCTCCTTGAGTTTGGGACATCAAGGGCATGCTTTCACAGAGTTTGACAAATGTAGTGGCACCACGGCTCCAGCGCCTAGATTTTGACCCGTCGACTTGGACTCCTCTCCTGACTTTGGGACCACAGGGGCTTGTTAGTCACAGGGTTTGACAAAACTGGCTGCAATGCAATAACAGACTAGCAAAAAGTCTGTGCCCCTGCAACCTCCTGCATTTCAAACCAAGGGCAGCCAGGTGGAGAAGGTAAAGCCAAGAGGAAAAATGCAAAGACATGGACTGATCACGCGGGCAGTCGTAGCGCCATATGCTGACCACGCCAGGCTGAGAATCAACATGCTAATCTTCATGACATCACGCTTCAAAAAGACGATGGCCAAAGAGAGCAGTCGAAGCTGCTTGAAGCGCTGGGGATGATGTCGATCGACAAATCCATCCCCTGTTCCTTGCACCATGAACGGAAAGCACAGATCATCCAAAGATGGTCGCAGCAGAAACGCCAATTGCATTATATTTTGCTTTGGTAGCGTGTATATGCACACATCTTGCTTTTAAGTTGCCTGGCCTCAAGCCCGGAGATGCGTCAATTCAACTCTCCCTCGCCCCATGCGGAGTACAAGTCGTTGCCTCACATGACACGTCGTGCTAACACGAAGCAATCGGAGCAACCCCTTACTGTCGAATGCGAGAGCCTGCAACGGGCGAGCGGCCCTTCCCTCATACAGGGTGCACGGGCAACCCGAGGCACGCTTCTGAGAGGGCACCGTCATCACGGTGCTGGAATACATGACCAGCTGAAACACCAAAATGTGTTCATTCTATTTCATGCTTTATCTACATGATTTCCGAGTCCTCGCAACAGTACTAAACGAAATTCACAAAAAATCATCTGCTTTGAACTTTGGATGGTCAAAGCCGTCTACCTGGGTCGTAACCATCTCTCCACGGTGTTGTCCACCCGAGGAGGTTCCACGCGGCAGGCCTGGCTGGTGAACCCGAAGTGAGGTAGAAACCTTGGACCGGCCCGACATCTCGTGTGAGACGCTGTGAAGGGCTGGTGGGAGCCGTCGTTCCACAGGCTGAGTGCCCGGGTTGATCACATTTAGGGAGGTAAGAATGGCATGTCGTGTGAGATGGGGCTTAAGCTTCTCTCAATGTCAGAAACCCCCCACAACTGGCGGAGGGTTCTGCGGCCTCGCACATGGAAAATGGAGGCAATGGATTGGAAGCACGGCACCCCTTCGTGCTGGGGGGTTGGGGGTGTGCATCGGGGTGCTACTGAATGTTTAACCCACAGCTGTGAAAAATAGTTTGGCGAGCAACTAGGCGTTGAAATTGCCCCTCTCAAAAAAAATAACTCATTCAAATGGGCGCCGCAAGGGAAAGCCATTCTTCAGTCAAGCACTTGTCAGATCGATTCAGATTTGCATGAATGGATTGATGGATATGAATATGATTATATGATATATATGGATGAATTGCTTTGTTGTACATCGATTGAATCTGACAGTCTTGGACTTCCAACTCCAAAAGAAACCGCCTTAGCTTGGACTGACTGGCTCACCACAGCCCCCTGCACCCTCAAAAACACCCTCCCCACCCATCCTGCACCCTCCTGGGTTGGACCCCCCCCTACCTAATCCGCCAAGTGAATCCAAGTGACACAAGACCACCCAAATGGCAGAGCAATAAGTTCAGCAGCGGCGAGGCATGAGAGCCCTCCTCCCGCTGTAAGGCCTCCACCACCAGCAACGATGCGCCACAGAGAAGCACCGCGCGACGAGAGATCTTCGGTGATCATCGGCACGAGAGATCATGTAGACTCTTGATTAATAATACCCCCAGATGAAGAGGACTTTTAGTCCAATGTGGGATGATGGTTTATTCATAAGTCAAACCATCTATTAGATGATGCCATCTAATGGGATGGTTTAAGCCATCTAATGGGATGGTACAGATGGCTTTGGGATGGCACCCATTAGATCCCATTACCCAGACACTCCATGGGACTGCCATATATGCCGATCAATTGGGGTGGTGACAGGGAGGTCAATTGATTGGCATATATGGCAGTCCCATTAGTCGTGTCTGGGTTAGTAACCATCCCATGAGTCTACAGAACAGCTAGCTCAGCGCCTCATGGCCCCAAAAACCTGAACGACCCGGACGTCGTCGGTCCGTTCCCCCTGGGTGCCATGAACCAGAGCCATACCCCCTGCCCTATAGGGATCTGTGTTCGTACCTTCCTATAGAGATCGATGAGCGAGACAGGAGGGGGGGAAGATTTCCGTTTGGGTCAACGGATGGCAGTCATGGGCCATGGAGTCTTCGAGGCTGGCCATGGTGTGGGGAAGGAACGACCTTGTTCCCGACCAAGGCCCTGCAGATACGTTACCCACCTTCCAGGTTTCCTGGCTGCCTTCGCTCCGTGGTGTTGTTCTATCGGTGCACCAGAATAAAGATCGGTGGACCGACAGCCTTCGACCCACAAACCATGCGGTCACCGACAGCCGGGGCACCCACCCACCTGCAGCAACTCTCCTGATGACTGGGCACCGCTTCGCACCGCTTTTTGCGTTCGGAGTCCAATCCAAGGCGGTGCGTCCATCCAAGGACTAATGACGCTCTGGTTCAACTCTTTTTGTCTAAACATATAGTTTTCATACATGACTTAGTTTTCATGGTGGAACAAGCATTTCTTGGTCTGTTGGCTGTTGGTCTATTTCCCTTCTTCCAGGGAGTCGAACGGGGAGTGTCCCTATTTGATCCTAATTGAATACGCACCCAAATAAATGATATACTTGACATTACTTGACTCGACCATGAATTTGTGCTTGTCCCACAGTGAGAGATTCTTTGCCTTTCGATTCCGGCATCTTCTTTGGGGAGCACGTGGCAACTTCCTTGAGGATACAAAAGCAGATGAAGAAGTGGTTCACGACCACCTTGTCGTGTTTATAGTTCTCAGAGCATTCTCATTAAAAGAAAAACTTTGAGATCGACTATTGATTTGCCGGAATCATTGTCTCGCATTTATCTGTGTTAGTGTTTCTTTCTTAGTTGTGCGTGGTGTCCTTGTTTACTAACATGCACCAACCGTGGTTGCTTCTAGATGAAACGTGGCTTAGCATTGTGTTGGGATGACTGTGCAATCATTAAGGGTAAGTTTAGCATTGTCGGATAGACAGACTATATATAACTCCCAATATCGTATCGTGAAGCCTGTTCAAAGTCCAAAGTAATCTCCCACTCATTACTTTTCAAGCTGTTTTTTTCTTTGACTTTACTTGACATTTGTACATTGTATGATGCTTGCTTGTAGACTCTAGACATTGAAAAACAACACACTTGGCCAATGCACGCACGCCCCAAGCCCAGGAGATGCATGAATTTCAGCCAGAAAACCCTCACCCAACTCCATGCCAGGTGGTGTGGGTTCCGACAATTGGACTCCAACCAACCGTGGGCTCGACCCATAGAAAAACCTGCCAAACACTCATGCCAAGGCCGCCAAACTCCTAAGGCCTGACAGGGATCTGAAACAGAACTGACTGGTGATTCCTGGTGATTCCTGACTCGTACGTTGGAATGAGGGTGGCTGGATCCTTTCCGGTATGAGGTGGTTGGAATGAGGGTGGCCGGATCCAATGTGGGTGAATGATGTTGCAGGCGGTCTCCCTTCTTCCCTACTTGTCGTCGCACTCAGAAGAAGTATACTCTGCTCACTGTCTGTCGACGGGGGTCGTCTCGGCATGTGTCCGTATGGTCGAGTTCTTCCTCGAAGCGGTCTTCCTGGAATCATCCAAGGGGCCATTGAGACAGTAGAGCACGCAGGACAAAAGGGCCAAAGCCAGAGCCAGGTTCCGCATGGCTTAGCCTGGCGCCATGGATCAGTCACTTGTTGCAGGAAGAATGACGAGTTGGTACCTTTACTGGAGAGGGAACCCCAACTGATGGTTCCAAACTGATGGCAGAACGTAACATCCTGAAAAAGCATCGCATCTGGAGCCCAGGATCCAAAGAGAGCATGTTTGCTCAAACGTTTTGAGTTCATGTTGGCTTTCGTAGACTTCGGCATGCTCACAGGGCCCAGGGCTCGGTTGGCTCAAACCGCGGATCCGAATCAGGGCGACCGATGAAGGACTGCGACCAGCGATGGGTCTTGGTGGTCGAGCGGTCATGTTTTAAGAATCCAAGTGACCAACTGAATAGCCCCCTAAAACTTCCAGAGCCTCAAAAACTAAGGGTTTTGAGTTTTGAGGGTTACCTGTACAGATGTGGTTGGAGGTGGAAGAATAACACCTCCTGGTTGTATCAGAACACCCCAGCCTTCTGCCATGTCATCTGCTGCACCGCCGGAATCAAGGTCGGTGGACAATCCGAACACCCCGATGATTTGTTCCTATGCAGATTCGTGCGAAGAACCAAAAAGACTGAGCGGGATGGGGCAGTGAAATAGACGGTCCCAAATGATTGGTGTTTCTTCTTCTATGTTTTTTGTGGACAACCACCGCCATGTTCTTGCGGAGTCACTGAGAGCCCCCATGCAGAGTCAGAGCCCCAAGTGCGCTTGGAAACAACATGTGTCGCGGAGCCTGGTGACCAGGGCACGACAAAAAGACATCACCAGGTCTGGTTCCATTCTGCAGGGCCCCCCAGGTCTTAGGGTCCGGTTGTGATTCATGCTTGTAGAGCCCGAAGAAATGAGGCTTGGGTGCCGAGGAGTCTTTGTTGAGAAAGCCAAAAACTTGTGATATGTGGGTGTGTACTCGAAATGGCCCAGAAGGTTGATTTATATATACAGGTGGTTTCCTTGGTATGGCAGCAAAAAAGTTGTGCAAAAAGAAATAAGAAGGGGAGACTGAGGGAGAGGTCCCGAGGTCCCTCAATCATGTCGATTCCATCACTGAAAAGAAGGTGAGAAGGCGGTCACTCATGTGTTGATACAAATGGTTTGGTCAGTTTGGTTGGTCGGGCAGGGCAGGGCTCGAGGTGATGTCCGTCCAGGTGATGTCCGTCCAACGACTCTGGGTCCGGAGTCTGGCTGCCAATCTCCGTGGTGGCACAGGATGGTGTGCCTTTCTCGCTGGGTCACAGGGAGGTTGGTGCTTGAGTTCAGAAAAACACCCCACATCAACATCAACGTGTGAATTGGCCTCTTTGAGCTATGCTGAAACAACTCAAGAAGTCATCTGCAGTATCTTAAAAGCCGGAACAGGCTACTCCTGACAGGATGTGGACTGGAAAACAATCCAAAAGCGACGCGGCTCGACTCGACTCTCATTTCTCGAGGCTCATGGGCCGCCCATGGGGACTCGGCTTGGGGTTTGCAGCTACGCAGCAAACCAACCGATGAATCCTGAAAAAAAGAAAACCTCCTTTTCAATGACCTTTGTGACATGTCCAAAAAGGAACACCACCTGCCAACGCGTACCTGTGACATACGTTGCGTACGTTGCTCCCCCAACCTCTCCCCACTCGGTCTCACCTTTTTGGGAGTCGTCGCGGTGCGCGCGGCCATTCCACTGACCCCTCCCTGCGGTCCGGCGGAAGTTTTGCAAGACCGGGGGGGTGAACTCCACCTCCCGTGTGGAGGCCATCGCTCTTAGGTTGGAGGCCATCTCTAGTAGGTTGGAGGCATGTCGGTTGGATGGAGGGTAATACTCTTGAAAGAAGACACCTTGCACGGCTTGTAGCTTGATGTCACCTCCCTTGTGCAGCTCTTCCCCAGCTGCTTTCTGATCTTTCTTCTGGGCAGGTGGTATTTCCTTCGAATTTGCCAGAGCAGGGCGAGGTTCTTCCAACAGTGCATCTACTGTACACTGAAACGGAGTCCAGTGAACCCCTCCTCAGGCATTGGCTGCAGTGGCACCTCCCAGTGGAGCATGTGGCACGTGGGGTTGGGGTCCAGGGGTGTTTCGATGGAGCTTTGTGCTTACTGATGTCTGTCTTAAAATTGTGTCTAATCTTGAAACTTGAGCTTCTTGTTCTGTGGATTTGAAGGTCCAAAGGCATGCCCCATATTGCTGTGCTTGGGCAGCGCCCTATCACACTTACAACTCCGCCCAGTTCATTGCTGGGAAACCTCACGCAGAAGTCCATCGCTCCAAACTATTGATGAAGAAAATACTGCAAAACCATAGGTGCATACTGTCAACTGCATTCATCTGTTTTCAAACAAATGACATTACCCACCCAAAGACCCCTGAATACTATGAACAACCAGAGGGGCGAGCCATAAGTGTGTTGAAGTAGATTGTGCACCTAAGATATCCTTCTTTTCGCTGCATTAGATATACCAGCCGCAACCTGCCATGAGGTTTCCATAGGGATTCCGACTGTGCTGTGTCGTGGATCTGACCTTCTCTGTAGAACAACCAACGTCTATATCTTTTGCGATGCAAAACTTAGAGGATGGGCATGCTGTCTTTTTTGAGAGGAAAATGATGATGGTGTTGGAAGAGCCTCATCACCCACCCGCCATCAGTGGTTACTGTAACAGTTCCACTGGCATGGGCAAGAATAGTAACATTTGAACTACCAGGACCTTCCAACAAATGGTTTTGGACACCCCTTAACCTCTAAGAGGCTATTCATAGACACCTCTTGGAAGGTCCTGGTACAGGCTGGAATGGTGATGAACAACGTCTCCCAGATCCGGACACGCGCATGGGCGGCTTGCGCGATCTTTTTTCTTCAGATCTGGCGATCTCGGCAGCCCACAATTGCGGTACAACATTGAGGGGTGCTGGCCACACAGTACGGTATGGCGTCCTTCGTCTGATCCAGGACCTGACCACCAACACCGCTCTTTTCTGAAGGAGGGTTGTTGAAAGGGTGGAATTGCGTGAAGAAACACAATCCTCAGGGTTTTGCGGTGTTGCCTCACGATGAACCCAGCAAAAAAACACAGTGTCTCGGCTTCGAACCTTGGGATTCTGGGGGGGCTTGCTTCGTGGTTCTTTTTCGTGTACAGACCCCAAGCTTGAAAACCGTGTACAAACAAGCCATGCTGGATTCCGCAGATGTGCCTTGAACTGCAAGAGCCTGGCTATGGAACTGTATGAATTTGTCGACAAACACGACCCAAACAAATCACCATGAGGCAACCAAAACATCATCTGCAAGAATCTTCGCACAACAAAAACGAACGGAATCAGGTGGTCGCGGTCATGTTGGACTTTGGGGCATGCATAACATTGCACAAGTAAACTAGACCTCCTCTCCTCAGTGCCCAAAGTGACTTATGACTTTGCAGCACAAACAGGTCGTCTGACCGTGTCGACGGGACCGTTCGACGAGCCCTGCGTGTCATTTGCCGGCATCAAAAACCACAAACGGACGAACCACGAGGAACAAAAACAAATGAATCGGATGGGATGAATCTTTGTATGGCCCACCCCGCCCTTACTTCATTAAGTAGGTGCCGACTTTATTAAGTGAGGGCCAAACAAACTACTACGCAACCTGTAGCTAGGACGCGGGATTTGGTTCCTAGATTCATTTCTGACGAATCGCAATCTACATGCAGTTGCCGTCTGCTCTCCACCTGAATCAACGCCCTCACTCAACGCCCTGTGTGAAACCTCGCTTCAATATGGTGGATCGATGGCAGTGAGCCCTGCATCGATCATGGACAGTGGACAGTGGAGATCATCGATAGTGGGAACCCACGGACCCAAATGGTCCCACAATGACCAGTGGGGGGGCCACTCCCAAATATCTTTCTTGCCCGCAAGTAAACACCTTGTGGAAACGGTCTTGTAAGATATCATATGCCATTCAACCAAATTCCAGTAATCCTATCCAATCCTATCCTGGACATGGGGTGTGCCACCTGTTTCATCGTGGATCGGCAGACTTCTCCGTGGTCAGTTTCAGGGTCCCTCTTTAACGGCCTCTCCGAAGAAAAGGAGGTGGTTGCAGTTGCAGCTACTAGGGACCTGGCAAACATCACCCATTGTTGAATACATGGGGATGAGTCAACACCTGCCCTGGTCACCATGTAGCTCGACCTTTTAGGCACAGCTTTTTATGGAGAGTTGGGCTTCCAACGGTTCTGTTTTGATTCAGCTCAACCAGCAACTCTAAAATGACCAGCTCTAGGCTCTTGGGCTTCGGCGAACAGCCGCCTGGACAAAACTGGAGCACCTAGCTCACACTAGGCTCCAACAAGGGCACGATGCTGGCAAAAGCGGTGCCGAAAGCGGTCCAGGTTGCTCTTGACCTTTTACAGGACCAATTTTAGGAGCACCAAGCTCATCCTCAGTGGACAGGGATGCGTAAGCAGAAATGAGTGCAACCAATTCCACGCTGAAGGCTCTGTGAAGGAAATCACAAGGTCTGGGTGATCATAGCACCTCTCCTGCATGACTCGCATTTGTCCCGCATGTGGAGACTCTCATGTTGTTGGATTTGTGACTGGGCCATCCGTTCTGGGTGTGCTGGCTGGAGATCCCTAAGTATCTGCAGTATCCTAAGTAGTAGTGGGCTGGGTAGTCCAGCCAGGACAGTCCAGCCAAAACAGTCCCGACAGCATGGGCCTTCTCTGGAAAGGACTCGACTCGCTGATCTGGGTCTACCATGGTCTACCTGGGTGGATGAGTGAACAGCTTACAATATAGTGATTGACGGGTTCATTCGTGGCTGAGAAAGGCAAGGTTTGATCAAATGGAAGAGAATGGACAGGCCTAGACAGACCCCCCAAAAAGGAATGGTCAAGCCGTCAAGCAGGAGATCCAAAGATCCAGGCTGTCCTCCTTGGACCGAAGAGACATGGGCGTGTGTTCGATGTAGGTCGCACCGCAACAATGGGTGTCGAAGGAAGGGTGACGAGGACTCACCGTGATAGGTGGCACATGGTTGTGTTCTTCCAGACCAACAGATCCAGCCTCCCACGCCAAGCTTCACCACCAGTGGCTTGCCATTGAATCCACCTGGACATGGCATGCCCCCTCTTCTTGTGATATGAGTGCAAACATCGTCTTCAGTGCAACCACACCCACACAAACTAACACAGCAAGCTAGTTGTGCAAGCTACGTGTCCGATCTACTCACTAACTTCACCCTTGTGTGTGCTTCCACCAAAAAAAGAAACACGAAGACATATGTGTCAAAAGCACCAATGAGTCCAACCAACCAACCAACCAATCAACCAATCAAACCCACCAACCCACCAACCCACCAACCCCCACCCAGCTGGGCGGGCACGCACCTGAGATGGGTGCCATGATCGTCGCCGGGCCCCCTTCACCATCGCAGAAGGCACACGAGCTGCGAGGAGTGCAGCGGCAAATTCCACCTTCGGCAGGACAGGAACTGAAACCCCAAATCCCTAGGGCTCCAGTCGTACCTCCTGAGGTGCGGTGCTTGGACCCTCCAAACCACCCCGCTGGCACCCACCCCAGCCCCAGCCCTTG